GGTACATTTTTTTTAAAAAAGTTTTTGCACTCTGCAGGTCTCCCAAACCCTCTGTGTCCTTTTTTTTTTTTAAAAAAGTTTTTGCACTCTGCAGGTCTCCCAAACCCTCTGTGTGCCTTGTTTTTTGAAAAAAAAAAAAGGAGGGGCATGCAGAGCTTCGTGAGGCTTGTAGAGTGCTCCTGGGGGCTTGGGGGCCAAAAACAAGCTAAAATGGCCCTCCCCAGCCTTCAGGAGCACTTTGCAAGCCTCCCAAACCCTCTGCACATCCATTTTTACATAAGGAACGGGGTTTCAGTAGGCCAAAAATGCTGTATTCAGTGTATAAGATGAACCCAGATTTTCACCCTCTTTTTTGAAGGGAAAAGGTGCACCTTATACTCCAAAAAATATGGTAATTTTTCTTTTAAAAATATAGGAGGGAGGAAAAAGGATTACTTCCAAACAATTTTCACATGGCCTCAGACAAAGATTTCAAAAGTGTTATTAGCAATCAAAGCACAACTAAAAATTAAAAAGTAATCATCATGTTTGGCAATAACAAAGAATTTAAAAATATTGAATACATTTATATTTTTCTTATCACATCAAGAAAGTATTCAAAGAGGAAGGGGGAAAAAAGGGAAATCATGTCTTTGTAACAAGAATAATCCTGCAACACAGGAGATCTTCTGGCTATTAAAATGCAATCCAATAAAATAACAAACTGGAGACAGGACGGTGACGATGTCCCAATTATTCCACAAGATCAGTGGTGGGTTGCTGCCAGTCCTGACCGGTACAACTGTATCGGTAGTGGCCTGGAGCAGCTGAGAGCGTACCGGTACGGAGACTCATTTGGCCCACCCGCCCGCATGCACGTGCTCTATAGCTGTATTTATGCCAAAAGGCACACTGTGCACATGCACACCACGTGTGGAGCCTGCACGCGCCCCGACAAGCAACTGGGGGTCAGAGAGGCAGTGGATTGTGCATGCATGCGCAGTGCATGTCAGGCGTGGGTACAAGGCACGTCAGGCTCGTGCACAGACAGACTGCGATTAGCGTACCGGTAACGACAGTAAGAACAACCCACCACTGCACAGGATATGGTGGGTTGTTGGATACACATGAATGAGAGAAGCAGAGATCCCATGGTAAACTGTGAACAAGGAACTAGAGAATTATGTACCACTGTGTTAATATCAGGTCTAAACCTGTGACAGATATACAATCTGATGTTTTATCTAGCAAGCACAAGAGGCAACAATCTGGAAATGAAGTGAGGAGATGATACCTGAACAGATCTAACTTAGCACTGGAGTGGGGGAAGTGTCACCACTAGTTTTTAAATTCTTTTTTGGGTCCTGGTGTAGCCCACCAGCGGCCAGCAGAGCTGGCAGAAAATTCGGACATTGAGGAGGATGAGGAGGAACATGGGCCAGTCCTGAAGTCTGATAAGGGCTCTGTGTTGGAGGCAGAGAGGGGACCAGAGCCGTATGCCAGTTACCAGCTGCCTTCAAAGTCAGACATCAGTGAGGCAGACGAACAGCAGGAGCCTCTTCCCAGTGTATGCATGCGCAGAGTTGCCAGACAAAGGGAAAAGGTAAAGAACAGGGGACGACTTGGTAGACCATGAATGGCTCCTCCCAGAGGAAATAAAAGAGGAGTGAAAGGGGAGTGGAGTTTGAAGGAGACAATTAGTTCACTTCATTAGTTTGATGTTTCCGAGACTCCTTGCCAGGTTTTGCAGATATTGGCCTGTGAGCTCTCCAAGCCAGAGAAGGTCTGTAACTGTAAATCCTCCCTCGAAAGACTTTGTTGGATGTGAATGAGAAGAATTCACAGTAAATTAATAAAAGGAGTTTTTGGTCGGGACAAAAATCACTTTTATTAATGTTGGGTTTTGTTTGCTTCATGCTCTTGGGAAGCCTAGGTCAAAACAGGTCCCTGTGCAGTAAAAAGCTGCACAATTACTTTTTTTTTTTTTGCAAAGGAAAGAGACTGTACAATGCGTAAGGCGACTCAACTTTACACTGACACGAAAATAATATTTAAATTGCCAAAGTCTGTAAGAAGTTAGTGGTATTTCAAAATCCACCTGTTTGTAAGATAAAGGTGGACATCTAAGTGCTTTAGCTCCTAAATGCAGTTAGCCTAGCATTAAAAATCAAGAGATTCTGAATCAGTGTTTGGAACTGACCTTTCTCTTCATCGCAAGCCATTGGGGTTTTGCCAGCCTCGGAGGAGAATTCTGATGATGTCCATCCATCTCCTCCTCTTCCTCCCCTTCTTCCTTTTCCTCCTCTTCCTCCTCTTCCTCTTCCTCCTCCACCTCCTCCTCTTCTCCACTGCTTTCTTTTGGCAGGTCTGCAGACTTCTCTTTTTCCATTACTACGGTTGCATTTTCTTGAGGTCGCAAATACTTGCTTTTAGACTGGGCTTTTTCAGGCAATTGTCTACTACTTCTCGTGGAGAACAGCTCCTGCTCTTCTTTCTCCCAACAACTTGCTTGCTCCATCAACCACTCAGCCTGAGCAACAAAAAGGGTTAAAATAACAGGGCACAGAAACAACACTGAGCTGTCATTCATTCATGCATTGCTCCGCCTTAGAAATAAGCTATAGGTTAGCTCTGATCAGCACCAAATGTTGTCAAAGCTGCATTCTCGGAAAAGGTTCCTCTAAGTAGGTTCCTCCCCCACCCCACCCCAAAATAAGGAAACAAATTGAATTTGCATTTTATGAAAACTACTGCCTCCTTAATAAAGCAACAGTAATTGTAGTTCTTTTGTCAGCATTATGCTCTTGGATATGCGATTTCAAGCATCTCAGAAAAGGCACAGAAACAGATAATTAAAACTTTTTGAACTCTGTGTCCAGTTGTGCTGAAGCCTGTGCGTTTCATAGCATTTGGGAAGAAGCAGTGAAAACACAAAGCAAACAAATTGTTCCTGTTTGTCCTGCTGCCTGTCACACACTATGGACACGCCCACTATGGACACACCCACCCAGTCAATCATTAGGGCAGAGAACCGGTTGAATCCCACGCCCGCACATATCTTAAACTTGTCAAAGCTGAGAGACAACACATTGTTCTTTGTTTCTCAACACTCTGCTCACTTAAACTGACCCATATTTCTTGGAGCTAACTTCTGCTCAGAAGTCCTTCTTAAATGATATGATGCTTGCCTGTTTCCCGACAAACTCCGGTGTAAAAACGTTCTTAAATCTTCACCCCTATTTGAAATTAGCCTTTAGGAGCAAGAATGTTGCCTCATGATCCACAAGGAGAGCAGCTATAAAATTTGTTAAATGAATTGATGCCGTTATTAAGGATTCTGGTGGCTAAACCGTGAGATGAACAGGAAACTAGATATGTTGAGCCCTAGCAAAGAGAAGGCTTAGGGGAGGCCTGATAGCAGTCTTCCCATACTTTAAGGGCCGTCAAGAGAAAAGGGTATTGCTCCAAAACACCAGAAGGCAGGACAAGAAGAAATGGCTAGAAGCATCGGAGAGGGAGATCCAAGCTTGAAATAAGAAGAAATTCTCTTACAATAGAATGATTAATCGGGGGACAAGTTGCCTCCCAAAGTAGTGGGTAGTGCATCACTGGATATTTTCAAGAAAAGTTTGGAGAAACCTGCCGTGGGCAGGGGAGCTAGACTAGAAGACCTCCGAGCTCCTTTCCAGCCATATAATTCTATGATTTTAGGACATGAAAGATCTTCTCCACCCATGTGTTTTCACTGCTTCTCACCGCACCCAGGTTTAAAGCGCACTGCTTTTATGTTACAATTGCAGCTGTGCTATATGTACAGAACTATAGAAACAAATCAACCACATGGAACCTGTTGGGAGAGGGTTTATGACAGGGGTGTCAAACTCAAGGCCCAGGGGCCTGATTTGGCCCGCGGGGTGCTTAGATGTGGCCTACGGGGTCACCCTGAAAACAGCGAATGACTCGCCTGCGGTGCCTCTGCCAGAGCTCGGGAGGGCCGCACGCAGTCCTCGGAAGCCTGTTTTTGCTGGTAGAAAGCTCAGGCCACCACATGAACACATGCAGGAGCGACGTTGAGCTGGCCTTGCCCCTGGCCACGCCCCCAACCCCCCAGGTCAAACACAACTGATGCATCCCTCAATGAAATTGAGTTTGACACCCCTGGTTTATGACAACTCGCCGCGGCCAACTTGCCATGGCCAACTCGCCAGGGGACCACTTGGCACTAAGATCGAAGAAATAGTGGAATAGAATCATGAAAGGAAAGGATGCCAGAGGAGAGAGAAAATGAAATAAGAATGACAAAAACAGAACATTTTAAAAATTATTTTAAATAATTAAATTAAGTTGAATTGTCCAGCAGCGAGTTGTCCCATGGCGACGTGATGATTTGTCCCGTTTTCTGCAGAGAGTTTGCCACGACAAGTTGGGCATATGCGGACTGGCCGTGGCGAATTGGCTTCTGTGAATTGTCCCATTCCGCTGGGAGAACAGTCAGGGCAGCATAACATAGCTTTTTTTTTTGTTCTGCCCATCATCTTCACTTATTTATTTTTACTTATGTTCAGGAGATGGTTATCAAGTGATGTGTTTGCCCCAGGGATGAGATTCAACCGGTTCAGACCAGTTGGGTGAACCAGATGATAATTTTACATCCGGTTCACCAAGCTGGTAGTTGGAAGGACTGGCTGGCCCCGCCCACCCTGCCCCTCCCCTCTCAGGAGTCTCCACGCGGACATTAATTATGCCAGGTAAGTGCAGAGCCCGTGTGGATGTTCTGGGAGGGCGAAAAATGGGCCTTTTGGAAGTTTGGAAGTCGGCCCCCGGCAGGGCCTCCAAATTTGGGGGAGGCCGTTTTTGCCCTCCTAGAAGCTCGAGGGAAGCCTCCAGAGCCTGGGGAGGGCGAAAACTGTGGTGCAGGAGGCCGAGTAGGCCATGCCCCTCCATGGCCACACCCACCCAGCAATCGGTCAGAGAACCAGTTGCTAAATTTTTTCAATCCCACCCCTGGTTTGCCCTTACCTCTTTTTCAGCTTCCCTCTCTTCTTCAGAAACCGCTGCATTCGGAACCAGGAGAGGACTCCACCTCAAACTTTCTGGGTCCACTTCATTGACGCGTGGATGGATTTTCAGTTTCTCCATATAACGGGAGATCAATTTCTCTCTTCTAATTACCGTAAATCTATAATGGAAATAAACCTGAAGTTAGAAGAGAGCAATACAAATAAGCAGATGGGAATGTATCTATTTGCTGTAGGGATAGTGGGTCTGGAATTGCAGTTATTTTTTCTTTAATACATTTACAGCCCTCCTTTATGGAGAGACCACTCCTGCCAGAGCATTTCCCCTATTCTTGTAATCGGACCACTATCCAGAGGTAAAAAGCTGCCACACACAAGGCATAAATTCTTAGAGCCAAGGTGGTGCAGTGGTTAGAGTGCAGTGCTGCAGGCTACTTCTGCTGACTGCCAGCTGCCTACAATTTGGCAGTTCAAATCTCACCAGGCTCAAGGTTGACTCACCTTCCAACCTTCCGAGGTGGGTCAAATGAAGACCCAGATTGTTGAGGGCAATAGGCTGACTCTGCACACCACTTATAGAGGGGCTGTAAAAGCACTATGAAGCGATATATAAGTCTAAGTGCTATTGCTATAAGTCCAGCTCCTGGGGCAAAGAATTAAGAGTTTTATCTTTTTGTTCTTATCAAGTGGTAGCCCACACATGTTTGCAATCTAGACCAAAGCTAGTTCATTATTCTCAAACTCGTGAGCAAAGAAGGGCCGGGGGATTAGGAGATTAGCTAACAGTGATGGATGGGGAAGCTGTTAGAACTTGTGAGAGCTGCATTCTGGTGCATGCAGCTACTGCCACAGAGGGAAGCAAATAATCATTAGTTGAAGAAAAGAGATTTGCCCTCAAGTGGATTGCTAGAAGGTTACAGTGGTGAGCATGTAACCCTGTAACATAATCACAAGTGGGGCATCAACTGCCCGGATTGCAATCATGTGACAATGGGTTGCTGCAATAGCTGGAACTCCAAAAACTCTTTGCAAGTTCCCTAGGAGTTTATGCACTGAAGACAAATTCCTTGTGTGCCAATCACACTTTGCCAATAAAGAATTTAATTCGATTCAATTTGATTCCATTCTTTATTCTATTCAATTCCATTCTTTATTCTATTCCATTCTTTATTCTATTCCATTCCATTCTTTATCCCATTCCATTCTTTATTCTATTCCATCCTTTATTCTATTCCATTCCATATTCTATTCCATTCCATTCCATATTCTATTCCATTCCATTCCATANTTTCCCTTTTTAACCTTGTTGTGTCCAATTGTTTTTAATAATTCTTTTTAATCTTTTTTTTTTCATTTCTGTAAGCCGCCCGGAGTCCTCCGGAATTGGGCTGCATAGAAATTTAATAAATGAAATGAAATGAAATATGGTGGCTGATTCTTAAAGCTGCAACAAAATGACGCACAACAAATTTTAGACTGTGTGCCTAGTTAATTAAAGGCATCGAAATACTATAAATGAATAGCTTCTCTGGCTGTAGAACTGTTACCATCTTGATTTTCTTATACACAGTTCCATGCAGGAAAAGTTCATACTACGTAGAAAAAAACTAATCTGGTACTTCACAAAAATGCTGACTTCCAATTTCAAGAAGTTTTAAACAGATTTTCCCCCCTTTCAAGTCATACTTGATTATTGTCAATTATATGGACAGATCCTTGCAGTCTTCTCAGCAATATTTCTGGAAGTTGTTTGCTGAGAGAGAGAGTGGCTGGCCCAAAGTCACCCAGCTGGACTGGGGCTTAAAGCAGGACAAGAACTTGGGTTTTCCCATTTCTGGTCTAGTATTTTAACCACTAGGCCAGACTGGCTCTCATTCCATTTCTAACTACCGTAGTAAAGCTATTGTCTAAGCATTCTGTCAGCTGTAACTGCTGGGACTAAAGTGATAACAGAATTACAGATTTGAAAGGCACTTTGGAGGTCTCCTAATCCAACACCTGATCAGGCAGGAAAGCTTATATTATTTCAGAGGTTATCAAATCTCTTCTAATAAACTTCCAGTGTTGGAGCATTCACAACTTCTGAAGGCAAACATTTTCACTGATTAATTGTTCTGTCGGGAAATTTCTCCTCATTTCTAGGTTGCTTCTCTCCTGGATTAGTTTCCATCCATTGCTTCTTCATCTTGCCTCCAGGTGCTGTGGAGAATAGCTTGACTCCTTCATCTTTGTGGCAACCCCAGAGACATTGGAACCCTGCTATCATGTCACCCCTAGTCCTTCCTCTCATTAAAACAATTAACCTCTGGTATTCATGACCAGAAGAAGTAATGATGGCACTTGAATGAAGAAGATGGGATGGAATACTATACAGCAGATCTGTTGGTTTTGATGATTTAGTGATATCTCCAGATTGCAGAGCATGTCTCCAAATGTCCAGTGCGGGGTGTGCGTGTTTGTGTGTCACACAATTGAAGCCTACCCTTCAAGCAAGAATTTGATTGCAACATTTGATTTTTTGACATGCAACCCCCCTACACTTTTTCCACCAACTCTAATGACCAACCTGGTGCCCTATTCTTGTTTTGGATAAGTATTTCTTGAAATACTGGGAAACATAGTCTTTAAAAAGCCAGAAAGAAAAAGAAGAAGAGGAGGGAGGAAGAGAAAGAAAGAGAAGGNAGAGGACAGGAAGGCCTGGAGGAATGTTGTCCATGGGGTTGTGTGCCTCAAATGCCAGAGTTTCTGAGCCAACATTTTGGTTGCTAAGCACGCCCACCCAGTCACATGACTGCCAAGCCACTCCCACTCAGTCACATGGCTGGCAAGCCACTCCCACAAAGCAGGCCACACCTACAGAAGAGGTTCTAAAAAAATTTGAAGCCCACCACTGCTCAGGATACAGCATACAACAAAAATAAGAATGTTATTGTTTTGTTCTGTTTAGTGGTTTAGCATGCTGAGTGAATCAATCAAACCCATTCATTTAGCTTATGAGGCTGGGTGCACCCAGGAAAAGGTAGATGGCCCATCACAACAGATGTAAAAAGAGCAGACTTCGACGGAGTGGTTGTGGGCAGTATCTTGGCTTCTGGTGCTTTGATTGTAATCACTGTCTTGACTTTTTGCCCCCTTCATAAACAAGGAAGAGGCAGGGGAAAAACAACAGGCAGGAACAGGGAAGGGAGGCAGGCTTTATCCCAAAACTGCTTAATCTTTTGGTTGGCCACGGAGGTGAAATTAAAACATGACTAGACTGGGTTCCATCCATGCTTTTCATGTAGTCCAACTTTTTTCCTCTCTTATTTTATTGATAGGGGTTCCAGGTGCTGGAGCAGGAGTTCCAGGAGCAGGGTACTACCCAGGTAAGAATTAGCTAAGATGCTGAGCTTGTCCATCAGAAAGGTCAGCAGTTCGGCAGTTTGAATCCCTACCGTCATGTAATGGAGTGAGCTCCCGTTACTTGTCCCAGCTTCTGCCAATCTAGCAGTTCGAAAGCATGTAAAAATGCAAGTAGAACAATAGGGATCACCTTTGGTGGGAAGGTAACAGCCTGGGTGTGCCTTCAGCATTAAGTCATACTGGCCACATGACCACCGAGACATCTTCGGACAGCGCTGGCTCTTTGGCTTTGAAACGGAGAGTCAGGAACATCTAGCGCATGTGTGCAAGGGGAACCTTTATTTTTAACTCAGTGTTAGAAATGCCATGATTGTGCAACATTGGTGATGCACTGTGAGTGCCTGTTCACAATACCAATTTCAATCAAACTCAAACATTGAGCTAGAAAAGAAGCAGCCAGGGAGAAGACCATTATTTATTCATTCGCTAATTTATTCTGCATAATGATGTTATTTGTTGTGAGGTGAAATGGAATATTTGGACTTTTTAATTCCCTGTGAATTTTCGGAGTATAAGACATATTGGAGTATAAGATGCACCAAGATTTTGAAGAGGCAAATTTTTTTAAAAAAAGGTTTTGCATTCTGCAGACCTCCCAAAAACGGCCTGTTCACGAAAACAGGCCTGGTTTTTTTTTGTTTTTGTTTTTTCCAAAAAAGGGCATGAATATCCTTTAGGAGACTTGTAGAGTGCTCTTGGGGGGTGGGGTGGCAAAAATGAGCAAAAAATAGCCCATTTTTTTTGCGAAAACAGGCCCATTTTTTGTCAAAAAAGGGCATGCATAGCTTTTAGGACAGTGTTTCTCAACCTTGGCGACTTTAAGTCCTGTGGACTTCAACTCACTGTTTTAGGAGGCTTATAGAGTGCTCCTGGGGGCTGGGGGAGGCAAAATTGAGCAAAAATTACCCCGTTTTTCGCTCATTTCTGCCCTTCCCAGCCCCCAGGAGCACTCTGGAGGCCTCCTAAAGGCTATGCATGGCCATTTTGGTGAAGGTGGTGGGATTTTGGGAGGCAAAAAATGCTTTATTTAGTGTATAAGACACACTCAGATTTTCAGCCTCTTTTGTGAAGGAAAAAGATGCATCTTATACTCTGAAAAGTACGGTATTTTTCTTAGTTTTCCACTACAAGAAAATGGGATGGGAATGTTAGAGTAGTATATTTTTATATGTTGCAGGAGATTGCAGAACAAATCAATATCTCAGGCATTTTCTGATATTATAAAAAAAAATCACATAGCTCAATGTGGGGACTGGTGTTTCAGAGGGCACCATCTATCCTCTTGATCAATGAAAATTTATAGCCTGGTGTGTGAACTTCAGCTCCCAGAATTCTTTAAAAAAAAAAAAGTTTTATTGGTGCATTTTTTCCATTAAAAACAAAAAATCCCATAACTATCTGAACAGCGTCTGTGCATAATTAATTTTAAGTAAAGGTACAACAATAACCATAATCATACTAGTAATCTTAATAAACATATCAATATTAATCATAAAATAGTAAAACAATTAGTTTATCCATCTTGCAATATTTTCGATAGATTTTTATTATCTCTTTGAATCCTTTCTAAATTCTAACCTGTTAACCATTGGTAAAATGTATCCCATGTTTAAAAAAATTTCTATTTCTTCCTTTTCTTTTATCTTAAGTGTCAATCTCCTAGAATTCTTAAGCCAGCATCACTGGTTAGGGAATTCTGGGAGTTGAAGTACATGCATATGAATATTGCCAAGGTTGAGAAACACTGATCTAGATGGATCCACTTTAAATAATGGCATCTTGTAATGTTTCAAGGATGCCTTTTTCCATATCTGCCTTAGAATATAGGGGATATTCCTTAGATAGATTCAAATCTTCACTTTGCACCAAATATGCATTTATAAAATAGGCTCATAACAATGTTGGTATTTCACATGGGGTGGAGGTGGGGGATCTCTCGTGATCTTCTATCAAGACAGATTCTGCCTTCTTATTTCTTCACTTTGGAGAGTTTGATAAGATCACAGGGGAACTCTAAAAAAAATGTAAATCACTGTGTGATCTTATCTTGCTTTCATTGGCAATTCGTTTGCACTTATCGTTTTATCCAAAAACCATCTGCAAGCTCATTTCCCTTCCTTGCCTTAGTTATTGCCCTATTGTGCTGTTTCTTTTCTTCACAAAATTAAGGATGTTATTAATGGATAAATAAATCTATGTATGCCCAATTTCTTTAAAAAAGCATTTTTCAGAATGCTTTGTCAAATTCCCTTAAGTGGGAAGTGCACAATACAGATATGAACATACTTGGCTCAGAACTACTTGTGGGGGAAAAGCAACTAATATAATATCATGGTTGGGGCTAGTGTTTTATATGCTTTATTGAAATGACTAAGAATTGTTTAAAATCCTTGCTTTCTGCAGGAACAGCTGGCATCGGAGGCGTAGGGGGCCACGGCGGCACAGGTAAGCCTCTAACGGAGTAGAACAAGATTCCTTGCGGGGTTTGCTTATAAAATAATGCTATTTTGAAAAATAATACATACAGTGGAGCAAATGAACATCTCTTCTTCCTCTCTGATAATGCTAGAATTTAGTGGTATCCAGTTCAGTGGTTCGAATCCCTAGTGCTATGTAACGGAGTGAGCTCCCATTACTGTCCCAGCTTCTGCCAACCTAGCAGTTCAAAAGCATGTAAAAATGCAAGTAGAAAAATAGGAATCACCTTTGGTGGGAAGGTAACAGCATTCTGTGCACCTTCGGCATTTAGTTATGCCGGCCACATGACCAAGGAGACGTCTTCGGACAGCGCTGGCTCTTCGGCTTTGAAACGGAGATGAGCATTGCCCCCTAGAGTAGGGAACGAGTAGCACATATCTGTGAGGGCAACCTTTACCTTTTAAGAAATGCAAAGGAAACTATATAAAGTGGGGGGGAACTCCTGATGGTGAAATCTATACAACAGGGAACAACCTAGGGTGGCATTTCCAAAAAGCTGCAAAAGTCAACAGTTACCTAGTTGGCTCATAAGAAATCTGGTTGGAAATGAGCCAATTTGGTCTAGTGGTTAAGGCACCAAGCTAGAAAGCAGGAGGCTGTGAGTTCTAGTCCTGCCTTAAGTACGAAAGCCAACGAGGTGACCTTGGGTCAAGCATTCTCTCTCAGGCCAACCCACCTCACAGGGATGGTGTGGATAAAATACAAGGAGGAAGGAGTATTGTGTATGTTCTCTGCCTTGAGTTACTTCTAAAAAATAATAGTCAAGGAAAATAAATAAATACATGAATAAATAAGACTGTCATGAAGTTCACTGATCCAGACTTCTATGTGAAGAGTTTGCACCACTTCTGAATCACTGCCATACTTCTGTGGTGTTCAACCTCAGCTGCCACAACCATCTAAAAGGTCCTATAAGAGGAATGGTAGTTTTCCTGCTTTGCATCTCACCTCAGTAACCTGAGGAAAAGGAGGAGTGAAATTGCCAGATTCCTTTGTGTACAGTACTGTAAACACAAGGGTGGTGAGAGAATCAGAGGTGGGTTCCTACCAGTTCAGACCGGTTCGGCTGAACCAGTAGTAACTTGGAGGCCTGGATCACTGGAACTGGCAGTGACCCGGGCCTGCCACATCCCGGAACTGGTTTTCTTGGCAGCACCATGGGTGCCACCATCTTTTTTTTGCCTTCTGCGCATGTGCAGAGCAATTTTTGCTGCACTGCGCATGCACGCAAAGCACACAAAGAGCGCGAGGCATGCAAAGCATGTGCGCGCATGCAGCACGTCCCTGAGCAAACCAGCAGTAGCGGCAGTGGGAACCCACCCCTGGAGAAAATCTAAGGATCCAAGGACAACTCTGGCAGAGAAGTAGTTTTGGCTCTTTTTTTTTTCATTGTGAACTTGGCAGTCACAAAGAGAGTTACAGGTATTTTTTTTAAGTTGGCTTTTGAAGAAATGGGGAGTGGAAATATAGTATTATGGAAATACTCCCAGGCAAGGTTTCTCAGCCTAATCTATTTTCCAGAGTTGCAGGTGGTCCCTGGAATAGACAAACATTGTTTAGAAAAGGAATTGCATTCATATATTGCATGTCCACGCATGCTTCTATGCTGGAGAAGAAAGTTTGTCACTGGGGTAATGGCTGCTATCCCAGCATTCGTTCTTCTGCACTGCTGAGATAAGGCCAGCAGAGATACTGACTTTCCAGAAAGGAGTGCATCCTGAGGAACCCACCATAAAGTCCTTGGTCTTCAAGAAGGGACTGAGAAAAATTGCTTCTTTTTTGATGTTCTTCCACAGGAGCTGGCATTGGAGGTGGACTTGGAGGAACAGGTGAGCCATTGTCTCAACTAATTAGGCTTCATTCAACCTCGCAGGTTGTTCAACCTGCATCTAGCCAACTGTAGTTGAACTCAAATAGCTACGGTAAGCAGAAATCAACAGAGCTGTAGACTAGATCAGGAAGTTTAAGGGTTTAAGGGTTTATTAAACTTGTATGCCGCCCTATTCCGAAAGGGACTCAGTTGAAAGCCTATTCTAAAAAAAGACAAAAACAAATTAATTCCATACTGTTGCAAGAAAAGACACAGACATGAAGTCAACAGGAGTCAAACCCACTATGAAAGAATTTTTTACCTATCTTCACAATCTGTAAGTCTATTGTGATTACAGCTTCCATAATTTCCAGCTTCTGTGGAATCTAGTAGGTTCTTCTCCTTCAACAGTCTATTAAAAAGAAACCCAATATTGTGGGGAATAGATTCATTTTGTATAAAATTCTACTGATATAACACAAACAGCATTTAAATATACTGTATATAATACATTCTGTATATGTACACATTATATTGTATTATATTACCTACACAGTTTCCATAACCTTTAATTCGATGAAATGGTATAGGGCAAAATGTTTTCAACCAAAGTATCTCAAATAACTAACAGAAAGTGTCCAGGACCTGAGTCCCATGACTGCCATGGAATTGAAATTTGGACAAATTTTATAAAACAGAATGACACAGAAATTATAATACAAAAGGCCATAAAACATCTTCTTGCCAATGTATGACTAAGCTATGCAGTTCCACGTGGGCTACCTTCAAGGTAGATACATCTTTGAAGATCTCCTTGAATTTAAAAAAAAAACTTTTCAAGCACACTAGAAGCTTTGCCATTATTGAGGACTCTGGTAAGGAAATATCTCCGAGACGCTGACCCTATGGGTCACAGCTTGGGTTTATTCAGTAAACCACAGCTCAATAACCCATAGTTTAGATAAGGAGTGCCAACTCAACTGGGGCTTCCTAGTTAACAATTGACACACACAATTGTTCCCATCAAAAATGAATGGTGCTTTTTTTTTTTACAGGTGGCCTATATCCAGGAGGTGTCTATCCTGCTGGATCTGCCGCTGCAGCCGCTGCAGCCTATAAAGCCGCCGCTAAAGCTGGTAAGTCAAAGTTGCTGTTCCCCGTTGACCTCATGTTCAGTATTCTGATTCCATTTTGTCTTGCCACAGACCAGACTTGGGCAAAAATCATGGATGAAGTCAGGGGTGGCCTTCAAAAATTTTAGCAAGGGGTTCTCTGCCCGGTTGCTGGGTGGACGTGGCCATGGTGAACGTGGCCTAGTTGGGCTCCTGCTCCACAGTGGGGAGGTTTTGCCCTCCCCAGGCTCCAGAGGCTTTCCTTGAGCCTCCAGGAGGGCAAAAACAGCCTTGCCAGGCCAGGGGTGGGTTCCAGCTGCTGCTACTGCCGGTTTGCTCAGGGACGCGACATGCTATGTGTGCATGCGCAGTACTGGAAAAAATGCTTATGCGCAGAAGCAAAAAAAAAAAAGATGGCGGCAATTTTGGCGCCGCCGAGAGAACCAGTTTGGGGGTGTGGCAGGCCGAGTTACTACCTACTTGGCCGAACTGGTCTGAACCAGTAGAAACCCACTTCTGCCTCAGACTCTGGAGACCCTCTGAAGGCTGGAAACGGGTCCATTTCCAGCCTTCCCGAATTTCCAATAAGCCCATTTGTAGCCCTCCCCAAGCCTCCACCCACACCTTTCACTTACCTGCATCCAAAACGGGCTGCATGGGGACTCCTGGGAGGGGAGGGCTGGGCGGGGCCAGCCAGGAGTGGGATTTGGGGATTCTCTGAACTGGACAGAGTCTTAGCTAGAGGTTCTCGCGAACCCCTGCGAACCCAGCAAAGGTCTATTCAATTCCTCTTTACCTTTCTTGGCTTTCTTGGTATTGGATGCCAAGTCCTACATCACTCTCTTGTTCTTATAAGGTCATTTTTTAACCTTTCTTTTCTCCATCTTGGTTTATAGATGGTACCTCTTAGTGGTCACTGATATAATTAATTCTCAACTTAACGAACAGAAGGTACTTACAACTTGGTTCCAAACTTCCCCCTTGTGGTCACTTAAACACATTTTGGGTGTGTTTATGGCCACTGCGCTTATGGCCACTTACCAAAACCTGCGGTCATGTGACTAGGATTATGACAATTTTGCCGAAGACTAGACTGCTTGCAATTTTTAGCAAAAATACTCCTTGGGGGACCAATGGGTTTGCTTAACATCCATAGAGTTCACTTAGCAACTGCCACAAAAATGATTGTAAAATTGGCTCCATTCATATGATGACCCACTTTATGAATGTCTTGAACTGTCTTGGGCAGACTCCATTATAGCCACATGTTAAGGACTACATGAACAGAAGCCATTGCATTGTATTTCCTGCCCTTAGACCAGCGGTGTCAAACTCCATTTCATTGAGGGCTGCATCAGGGTTGTGTTTAACCTCAGGGGACCGGAGTGGGCGTGGGCAGGGTGGGCATGGCCAGCTCGACGTCCCTCGTGTTGAGGGTGCCTATGGGAGCCCATTTTCAGCCAGCGAAAATGGGCTCCCAAGCTCTGTTTTCAGCTGTGACAGCCTCCTGGAACCCTCTGCCACCAAAGCTGGAGCTCGGGAGGGCCAAATGCAGCCCCCCTGAGCTCTGTTTTTACTGGCAGAGGCACTGTGGGCCAATACTTCACTGTTTTCAGGGTGGCCCTGCGGGCCAGCTCTAAATGAATGGTGTTGTCCCAACTCCAACTCCTCCTCCTTCTCCTCCTCCTCTGCTTCTGCTTCTTCAGATGATCATGTATAATAAAAAAAAACCTAACCCAAACCAAAGAAACAAGGGGGAGGGGAATAGAAGATGCCGTACAAGAAAAACTTGGGAAAATTGTCTCTTAAAATACAACAAATGATCTCTTCTTCCTATTTCCCACTTCTTATCTATAAATAAATCCATAAAAACCTCATCATTTCATTTCTGATGCCAGCAAAATTCCATTAAAGGTTAACAGAGATACAGCTTATCTATTTTAGCCTCGATCAAATAAACCAATTTTATATTCCTCCCTTTTACTTGTAACAATCTTAAATCCCTTCAAATAATGGCCTAGAACTTGATTTTTCGTGTTTTCTTTATCCCTTCTTACAAAACTTTTCTTTGTCTTTGTGTGAGTGGGCAAACAGTGAGAAGAGTACTCCTG